CCCAGAAAATATACTCTAAACAAATCAGAAAAGACCTGAAGCAGTGGGAAAAGAAAAGGAAAGAGAGAAAAAAGAAAAAGAAAAAGATAAAGATAAAAACAAACAAAAACAGAACAAAACAAAATAAACCAGAATGTGATCAAATATGATCAGGCTGGTATATAGATCAATGCCACACACTAGGTTTTGGGTGTATTTGGTCTGTTAGAGGAAAGTGCCTCCCAAAATTTTAAAGAAAAACATATATGTACAAAAATAAGGGTTGATATGATGAAGGGATGGAATATGACTGTAAAGATGGAAATTATAAAAAATTTTATAAAAGGGATTGATAAGAAGTTTGAAAAAAGAAAGAAGAGGATTTAAAAAAAAAGAGAGAGAAAAAAAGAGAATGTGATCAGGCAGGGGAGTAGAAAAAAACCATACAATAGAGATTTAGGGTATATTTTGATCTGTTAGAAGAAACTATCTCAAAATTTTAAAGAGAGAACAACTTATGTATATATGCCCAAAATACGGGTATCTACTATGAGGGATAGAATATGACTCTAAAAATGAATTGTAAAAATGAAAAATAAAAATTTTTTTTTATAAAAGGCATTGAGGGATGCCTGGGTGGCTCAGATGGTTACGCGTCTGCCTTCAGCTCAGGTCATGATCCCAGGGTCCTGAGATCAAGCCCCACATCGGGCTCCTTGCTCAGCTGGGGCTTGCTTCTCCCTCTCCCTCTGTCTCTCCCCCTGCTCATGTTCTCTCTCTCTGTATCTCTGTGTCTCAAATAATAAAAAAAAAAATCTTTTAAAAAAAGAAGGGATTGATAAGATGTTGGTTGAAAAAGGGAAAAAGAAAAATTCAAAAAAAAAATTAACTTTGAAAGACTAAAGAATCATGGTAAAAAAGCCATGAATTCTATGTGGAGTATTCCCCTAGCCCTGGAGTTCTGCCGTTCTCATTGATCGGTAAACTTGGTCTTGGCTGGCTGTTCTCGCTTATCTTCTGGGGGTGGGGCCTGTTGCCGTGGTTTCCAAAAGTCTTTGCCGGAGGCGGAATTGCCCTGCCCTTGCCCGGTCCAGACTAAATAATCTGCTCGGGTTTGCTCTCGGGAGCTTTTTTCCCTCTTCAAGCTTTCCGTACAGCTTTGGAGGCGGAGATTGAAAATGGTGGCCTCCTAATCTCTGCCTTGGAGGAGCCGAGAACTCGGGTCCCACTCCTCAGTGAGCCCCCAGAGAAAAGCCACCAGTCTCCCTGGTCTCCGGCCGTACTCCGTGCTCACCCGGCCTGTGACCGCTTGTTTCTATCTCTGGTTTCTATCCCTGACCCCGTGTGGAGTCTCCAAACCCAGCAGATTCCTGCGGTGCACTCCCGCACCGCTCCTCCCGGGGCAGGAAGGTGAGTCTCCCCGGATCTGCCGCTTGTTGGGTCCCTGCTGGAGGAGCAGTGGCCCGACTGTGCCGCCGATCACAGTTTATGGCAACCCCGAGCTGAGAGCCCGCACCTGGGCTCTGTCTCTGCAGCCGGCTTCCCTGCTCCGATACCTGGGAACTCTGCCGCACTCAGGCACCCCCAGTCTTTCTGTGACCCTGAGGGTCCTGAGACCACACTGTCCCACGAGGGTTCCACCCCCCGCTTAGCCACCAGAGTGACGTCCCTCAGCGAAGCACTTCTAAAAGTTCCGATTTTGTGCTCCGTGGTTCTATCACTTGCCAGAAGCGGCCGACGGAGGCCCCTCCCCGCCATCTATCCTCCCAAATATCGCCTCGGATTCACTTCTCCGCATGTCCTATCTTCCAGAAAGTGGTTGCTTTTCTGTTCAGAGAGTTGTTGCTCTTCTTTTCTTTGATCTCCTGTTGAGTTCGTAGGTGTTCAGATTGGTTTGATCCCTATCCAGCTGAATTCCTGAGAGGAGACGAAATCCAGGTCTCCTACTCCTCTGCCATCTTGCTCTGCCCCCTACCTACATCATTAGTTTTTGATGTAGTGTTCAGTGATTCATTAGTTGCATATAACACCCAGTGCTCATCAGATCACGTGCCCTTCTTAATGCCATTACCATTTATTTTCAATGTATAGTCACAGATATTTTTCAGTGGCATTTGAAATTAAATTTTAATTTTTCATTCTATTTTTCTTTGAAATTGATCAGTATACTTGATTAAGAAATCAGCTTTCATCTTTTTGTGCATGAAATGAATGATTTTTGCTTTTACCTTTTAGGTAACAAATACACTTTTAGGGCAGCTAAGGTTTGGGGATGGGAAAAGCAGCAGGGAGTTGCCAGGATGAAAGTGTTAAATCCCTGAAGAAGCAGAACGCTGAAGCCTATGTAGTGACAATTGTTTGGCACTAGCCTAGTACCAGCAGGTTTTAACATGCAAATCCTGTTTTGTTGCTGTTGTTTTCTTGGTACCCAAACAAAACCAAGATAATCGTTTTCACCCCACCCACAACTGCTCAAAATGGGCTCTTGTTCAATAAAGAAAATACACTTTCCTTATTTGTTTTTGAGAGTCCGAGTTCTGTGGAAATCCTCAGGCTAAACACGGGGAGGAAAACAAATATTTGTTAAGTGATGAGCATATGTCTAACATTATACTAAATTATATCAAATACAAAAGAAAATATTAACATTTCTGTGAACAGAGACCTACAGACAGGGCACACGTCGGAGGCAGTTAGTAAACGTGGCATGTTTTCTATAGGATTGGCATTGTGCAACATTTGTGGTTATGGACCTCTTGAAAATCTATTAAAAGAATAATACATGGTCACACAAAATTTGTATGCAATTTCAGGGGGTGGGACCAAGAATCCCTGCAATAGAGAACAGGACAGTAGCCACTTCTTCATTATTTATGCCGAGAAGTCCTAGTTAAGACATTTATTACTTTCTGTGTTCTCTCACAGCACCATTTATCTCACCTTAGATGTTCATGACTATAAATCAACATTTATTAGTTTGATTATTTGCTTAATATCTATATCCTTAACTTGACTTTAAGCTCCATGGGGACAGAAAAATCCACACTTACTGTTTCATTCCCCATGATGAGCACAGTTCCTGGGGCATAGTAATCACATAAATATCTGTTGAATAAGTAAGTCAACAAATGAATGTGGGTATGACATTAAATATAGAAGTTAGAGGATACAGCTAGGGTTATGTGTGCTAGAATTGTCAAAGCAAGTTTCATGGGAGAGGCAGCACCAGTTCAAACCACATTTATTGAGCACCTACCATGGGTAGGGCTTTGGGCTATGCATGGGATGGGAGTGATATCTAGAGTTTGTTTTTGAAAGTCAGGAAGTTTTGATAGTCACAGACGTCACTTGGGAAATAGCAGACTTAAAGAGTACGGTGGGTAAGTACAATTGATGAGAAAACTAGCACCGCTGGTACATGATCGATAATTGCAGAAAACATGGTGGGACCAAGTTATGAATTGTTTTAAGCAAGATGTCAGAGAGGTTGGATTCTTCATAAGCAGACGTTGTGATGAGGTTTTGTGTGCAAGTGATTTCTTAAGGAAGTGCTCCCAGATGAAATAAGTAAGGGAGTAAAGGGAAGGGGAAAAAGCCAGTCAAGGGTGTGTGTGTTTTTAGGTAAAGTCTTTGTCTTAGTCTGGTCTGCCCGGGAGTTCTGAAGTGTAAATTACATCTCAGAATATGCCCAGATCCAGGCAAGGGAGCTAGGCATTCATACTCCCACATTACTTAGGCATTGATTTAGAGCTGCCGCAGGGGATATAAATCCCCAGACCCTTTCTGTTTTCTCTGCTGGAGCAAGGATGCAATAGCACTAGTTACACAAGGGCAGTCATCAGAAGAGTAACAGGTATTGATGGCCATTAGAAACAAGCCTGAATGAGCGCTGTGAATTGTGTAAGACTGTTGAATTACAGACCTGTACCTCTGAAACAAATAATACATTATATGTTAAAAAAAAAAAAAGATAGTAGGAAAGGAGAAATGAAGGAGGGAAAATCGGAGGGGGAGACAAACATGAGAGACTATGGACTCTGAGAAACAAACTGAGTTTTCTAGAGGGGAGGGGGATGGGGGGATGGGTTAGCCTGGTGATGGGTATTAAAGAGGGCACGTTCTGCATGGAGCACTGGGTGTTATACGCAAACAACGAATCATGGAACACTACATCAAAAACTAATGATGTAACGTATGGTGATTAACATAACAATTAAAAAAAAAAAGAAACAAACCTGAAGCCAGGGATGGGTGCATAGAAAGGTCAAAGGGATGGGAGGGAGTCTCAGGAGAGCACCTGCAGTGTCTGCTACAGGAGTCCTAGTTTGACTTAATAGGCACTAGAGATTCATTGAAGTGGTTCCCAAACCTGGCTATACATTAGAAACACCCGAGGAACCTTTAAAGAAAAATTAATGTCTGGGCTCTGTCCCAGATGAATTAAATCAGAACCTCTTCAGGTAGGACTTGGGCAACAGTGCTTTTTGAAAGCTCCTCCCCTGAGATCAAAGGATTTACTTGAGTATAGGCTCCTGAGCAAGCATGTGGCAGGATGTAAGCAGTATTTTAGGGAGATAAATGGGCAGGGATTTATAGTCTGGATTGAAGGGAGAAAAAACTGGAGACTAGAGTATTGGCAAAAGGTGGTGATGTGGACTATGATGGTGGCAGTGAAAATGGAGATAAAGGAACAAATTTGAGAGATATCTTAAGGAAATATCCAGGAAATTTAATAACATTGAATGTGAGGGCTTGAAGGGACAGAGGAGTCAAAGGTGGCTTGAAGATTTCCCGGCTGGGAGTCTGGCTTTGAAGCAATGTTCACTGAAGTACTGTGATGCTCAGACTGTATGGAAAATTGTATCAGTCCAGTCATTTGACATTTTCAGTGGGAAAATGGAAGATGGTTATTATTAATGAGGAAGCTTGTCGGGGACCTACATTATTCTTTGGTCACAACTTAGAAATTCTGCTAATTTAGGCTAAAAGTGATTGTTTAAATCATACGATCCTTAAGATAATAAAATTATATCTTATGTGACCTGGGAAATTTGTTCCCATGGAACTTGGAGCTTGGGAATTTGGAAGATGGTGTTCATAATCCTCTGTCATACTGTGCTAGTGTCAATATTCTGGTTGACAGAATTGGCATTGGCTAATTCTGCTATTATTGCTAAATATGTAAGTTTATAGCCATCTGTCTTCTTAGTCATAAATTCTCAACCTTGACATAACATGTATTGCTAGACATAACATTAATATTTTATGCTTTTTAAAAATGTGGTGAGGTGTCTCTGTGGAGTAATGTGAACAACTTTTCTCTCTTGACACAATAATTATGCAAGCAATTGAAGTTCACGTATTTTGCCTTAATTGTGTGATGCTTCCTTATATGTACACAGCAAAAAAAACAGTCATAATTACTAGTGCCACTCTTTTTATATAATACTTTCTCAACATATCACATGAAGAACCCAGTAAGATAGGAAAATAAGGACTATTATCCCCACTTCACATCTGTAATAGCTGAGGCCAGTTCAGTGACTTGCCCATGGTTGCTTAGTACATAAAGTGGTGGGAAGGAAGCATGAAATCAGGACTTTTGTTTCCCAACTCAAATCTCTTTTCTTTATGCACTTCTCCCTCATTCTAAAGCACTGGGAAGTTCATACTACAGACAAATATTTTGAAACTGTACTCTTCAAATAGCTTTCTTATATGTATGCTTAATGTTTTACTTAGATTTTGATTTGATTAGTTTCAAATGATAGTTTTTTAAGAATCATTTCTTCCTATTTCCCTTAAGACACCTATTTATTAGTTTTTAAAGTCTGAATATTTTTGGATAATGAAGTATGGTAATCCCCCCTTATCCACAGTGGATATGTTCTAAGACCCCCCAGTGGATGCCTGAAACCGCGGATAGTACTGAGCCCAATGTATACCTTGTTTTTTCCTATACATACATACCTATGATAAAGTTTAATTTTTTTAAGTTTTTATTTTAATTCTAGTTAGTTAACATACAGTGTTGTATCAGTTTCAGGTATACAATATAGTGACTCCACCCTTCCTTACAACACCTGGTGCTTATCACAACAGGTGCCTTCCTTAATCCCCATCACCTATTTAACCCATTCCTTCACCCACCTCCCCTCTGGTAACCATCACTTTGTTCTCTATAGTTAAGAGTCTGTTTCCTGGTTTCTCTCTCTCTCTCTCTCCCCTTTTTCTCCCTTTGCTTGTTTGTTTTGTTTCTGAAATTTCACGTATGAGTGAAATCATATGGTATTTGTTTCTGAGTGACTTATTTCACCTAGCATTATGCTCTCTAGCTCCATCCATATTATTTCAAATGCAAGATTTCATTCTTTTTATGGTTGAATAATATTCCATTGTGTATGTGTGTGTGTGTGTGTGTACACAAGGATATATCTATCACATCATCCAGACTTTACCCCTAGGCATTTTTTCCTTTGGCTGGCTCTAACATGTATCCTTTTGCTATTAAAAAAAAAAAAGACTATAATGATAAGTCTAATGTTTTCCTGAGTCCTGTGGGTTGTTCTAGTGAGTTACTGAAACTGAAGGTGGACATGAGAACCCCTGAATTTGTAACTAGCTGGTCTGAAGTGAGCATAGTCCTTTGGGACCCCTGAACTTGTGGCTGGTGTCTAAAAAGCAGTCTTGTGGGGACTGTTCCTTCTGATTTTGCACTTTGGCTTAATCATTGCAGTTGGTATCAGAAGTCTCAGGCAGATTTGGCAGTCTGGAGGACTGTGCCTTAAACCTTGAGTTTGACCAACTTTGGGTAAGGGGAAAGCAGAGAATTCCATAGGATATATAAATGGATGGAGAGTGAAATTCTATTTCTGGAAATGTTAAGCTGAGAAGATATGGCCGGCTTGCTGGTGGTCATGGACACGTGAAGAATGTAGATAGGTAGAATAACAGAATCATGAAATGGGGAGAGAAAGAGAGCCCTGATAATATTGTTTGAACCCGTTGATTTTACTGTGCCAGACATCATATGTATCCATGGCTTCCTGAGTCAGTAAATCATTAAATGTTCCTTTTTGCAGAAACAAGTTTGAACAGACCTTCACCATTGCAGTCAAAAAGTTTGTCAAACATCTGTTCTTTGGACCCAGTGTTTCTCCTGGAGAATCACAAAGCTCCACATGTATTACTGAATGAAATTTTGATCAAGAGTCTCCTTATTATTGTATAATCCTGATAATCAATTAGAACTTCATTTCACATGTACTTTAAATTTGTATTTATTAAGGAAGAAAGCTTATCTCTATGAAAACATTTCATT